TTTTTTTTACATAGTTTTGGCTCCAGTGTCTAAATGTTTTGGATTGCTTCCTTAGTCGACAGCCAATAAGAATGGTTGATGCAAAACCATTTTTGTTTTTGTCACTGAAAGCACAGATTTTTAATCAAACAGTCAGACTACATTGCATTTTTAAAGTAAAAGAAACCCTGTTATTGGTATTTAAAAAGCATTTACTAAAAAAATGTATGGTCATTTTATTGCTAGTTTTCAAACACACCAGACTCAAGAGGTGTAATTAAACCCGGCAGTTAATGGGAGTTGCAGCTCTATCATAACGCTCTGAGTGTACTTGCTTTTAACTAAGGATACGCAAACGCATGACATCAGCCTTACATATCCTGTGGTGGTTTGGAGCGTTGGTTGTGCACGTCCTCAGAAAGTAAGATTCGAGATTCAATATGCTTATAACCGCTAGGAGCAGTGGAGAGTTGTATGGTGATGACACCGGAAATAACTTTTTTTTTCTTTTTTTCTTGACCGGAAATGACAACATCAGAGACATCAGAGAGCCACTACAACACTGCAGAAGTTTATAACAAAAGCAAACAGATCAAGTCCACAACTACCTGCACTATGATGTGTCAATGCTGTTGCAAAGCAACAAACATGCATGCCAAAATAGCTGGCGACAGATCATCTCTACTTTGGTATTTTACGCTGTCTGATTTATGTGGTGCTCCCTCTAGAGGAATCCTCCAGTAACACACGTTGTACATAGGCAAGTATGTGAAAATGTATGCGTACGACGCTGCAGGTATGTGTATGTGTGGCTCAAAAGCTAGTGTATTTGAGCCTTAACGGATCATTTTGTTGGTATTTTGGTTTGATTTTAGATTTTTACTGGTTAAGCTCTGATCCAACCAAGACACACACAAAAAGAAACATGATGATAAAGGGGACTGTAGACCAGCTACTCCAATGCTAATAAAACTATTGTATATTTCAATGGAGTCTTTTTGTTGAAAGAGGATTTAACTTAAACAAAGAGAGGTTAGCTTTTGTTTAAAGCTTCACCGTAATGTTGTTTGTACAGTATGGGATAAGACATGATACTGGTTCAATTAAAACCATTGGTACATATTAACCCAAGGTAACATACTGGCTATAGTGAACCATATACTGTGAATATTAATGGTGAAGCTGTAGTGATGTCACCCATGTGTTCCTGCAGGGGGCTCCGGAGGCTCATTGGCAGCAGCTGCCATGCTGGAAATGCTGTCTCAGTATAAGTTTCAGTGAACATAACACCTCATCAATCTCTAATCTAAAACATCCCTTCAATTTTATTTTATTGAGAAACACATTTAGCAAAATGGATCAGTTCTTAAATTAAAATGACCACCCTTGCAATGCTAATTTTGTTAACCTGTTAATAGAAATTTCTATTATCTGTTAGCATCAAGCTAACGAACAAAGTTCTCGTCCATCTGTGTGAAATGATTCCCCCTTCTGGAGAATTACCAGCAGATAGTGATTATGCTGCCTTCATGTGCTGCTCAGGTGGGCCAAGTTTCCGGATTGGGAAGTCGTTCTTCCGACTTCATTGCGTTCACGTGATTTCAGTTTGGTACGTCTGAATATTGTAACAACAGCACAAAACAGCATTGATACTACAAAGACAATCTGTGTAATGAACTGTTAAATGTGATATTTGAGCAAAAAGTTTGATGCGCAATACGTGAATTAATAAAAAGTATGTAAACATTAACAAAACAGATTTTTCCCCCATTTGATGACGATTCTGATGTCAAGTCGACAAGTCTGGCACCAAATTATTTTGTGAGTTTCCGAGTTGATTGCCGACTTGAGCAGGTGTTCATGTGCATTTTGCAACTTGGATATACTGTATATAGGGAAATAGAGAAAGCCAAACCTCAGGGAGCCACAAAGACAAAAGCAGATAATACATGACAACACATTGGTAGACAAATGAACTGACAATGAGAGGGAAGGAACACTGAAATTAAATAGACAGTGAGGTAATCAGACACAGGTGAGACTGCAGACACAGGTGAAGACAATCAGGGCAATCAAGGTGGAGGGAAACCAGACAAAGAGAGGAGGTAAGACAAGACAAGAAACACTTGGTACTAGAACAAAATAAAACAGGCAACACTCAAAACAAGACTGGGGAAATGGACACAAAATGAAACAAATGAGAAAATAAAACAGGCAGCACTAGAAACATATACCAGAGGATTACACAGAGATTAAAGCAACACGAAGGATGAATAAGAAATAAAACAGAAAATGAATTCTAAAAACTGAAATTAACAAAATAACAAACAAACAACAAAATATAAAACTAACTTGAAACTTTGCAGTAAAAAGTGATTATAAAGGCTCCTTCGGTCCTAGAGCTGTAAATCATTTTGTCACTGCTGTCAGAGGGATGGATTTGGTCAGACATTATCACTACTATGGTTGTTCTATTCTCTCATTGTATCAGTGGTTTACTGTGAATTCAATCAACGCTGTTACATAACAATCAAAAAACTGTTTTAAATGTTCAAGAATTCCCCAACTTTTTTTTTCTTCCCTTAGAGAAACCTCTCTGTCAACTCTGTATGGCATGGCAACCCGAACATAATGAAATATGCCACCAGTAAACAGCTTGCACAGGATGTATTACACACTGCCAAGCGTGCTTATCAGAGTGCATTTTACAGGGATGGATTCAGATATTTTGAGAGGTTCTGCTGGGCTTCCTTTAAAAAAAAAAAAAAAACAGACATGCATGTTCTGAGAAGACTGAAGGGAACAAGGGACAGAAAGAAATCCAACCCTAAACAATAAGCTGACACAAATATTAGTAACTGGCAAAACTTTTTCTCTGTTTCCTGTCTGAGTTGTTGTCAGATTTGAGTGAGCTGCAGTTTTCCGTCTTTCCGGCCATTACAGCAGACTTCTCCTCGCTCAATAACTTGGCGTGTAATACATACAGCGGCACAGCATGGACCATTGCACAGTGTGTCTGGGGGATCTTATATGAGGGACATTCTCTATAAAAGGCAGATGGTAACAGAGTAGGTGACAGGCAGTCCAGGTGACTGTCTCTGGACCATTACTTTAAACTTAAAGGCTGAACCTGGTCCGTGTGTTTGGCATGTCCTTTAGGGATGTCACAGAGCTATCGACCTGTTTAACAGTACAGTGAGAGAGAGGGAGAGAGGGAGAGAGGGAGGGAGAAGGGTTTCAGAATAGAGCTGGAATTATGTGTTTGAATCTTAGTTACTCTGTTTAGAAACAATTCAAATGTCTTCTTATGTTGTGTGTGTTTTATGGTCAGAGTTGACATTCACACATAGGGGCTTGTGGTTTAAAGGGTGCCCATTTTTATTTTCTTTTGGGGTGGGGAGGGGTTAGAAATACTGTATTTTGAAAAGAAAGCAGTTTGTAAAGTACGGAACAATACAGGATTTGATTTTAGTGGAGTGCAGGTTGGGAAAAAAGAAAGGAAAATAAATCTTTATAAACATATTTAGAGTTCCAGATTTTTGCTCTATTCTGTTTTCATTGCAAATTGAATTGATGTGTAGTATCAAATTAATGAAAATAATAAGCTTGTTGGAACACTTCTGAGTTAAACAGTGACATCGTGTTGGGATGAGTTATCGTCCATGTATTGCTTCATTGTTGTTTCCACAGACTGAGTACAACAAGGCGGCCAAGACACTCTCAAACTTTATTGTTTTTATTCAACTTTTTGTTTTACTAATGTTTGTCCCCACAATAAGGCGGCCCTATGAGGTTAACAGCAAACCCACAAATAGACTCAATAAAATACATGATACACCTTACCATAGTCAAAACAATGGATTTATTAACAGACAAACTAAATGATTAAACAAAGATCTACTGAAAAACTAATTCTAAAGGACAAAACACAATCCCTGACAGAGAGGCACAGCGAGTCCCAACTCAGAAGCTTCACCTGGGGTTGCAGACTACAGAAGGGGAGAAGGGACAAACAGCACAGGGAACAACATACGTAACACTAACTTTTAACTCTAATTTATCAAATAAGACACAAAATTCAGGAACTTTCCTGCAGAGTTGTCCTTTAAATGTTGTAACAGAAACATGTAAACAGTTGATTTAAAATCTGGAGTTACATTATTTAAACCAGAGGATGAAGAATTGGACATAAGGGCTGTCAGAGTGAACGCCGTTAATGGCGATACAATTATAGTTTGGAAATTAATTGATTTTTTTTTTTTAAATCACATTCATCACATGCTATTTTGTCCCTTTTGGAACACTGTAGTTAGGGCGCCGCAGACTTTTCCCTCAGCCGCAGTGATGGGAAATAACGACACAGCTGGGATTTTGAATGGCTCATTTTACTTTGAAAAACTTCCAGATGGCTCAGTTGATGAGTCAATAGTACCGGTAATACCCATCATGTGGCAACAAACATTTCACTTTTTTTATTTTATTTTTATTTTTACCATTTCCCTTTTTTTAAATTACTTTTCAATCCATAGCAAAGATCCTTTCCTGTGGTTTAAGTAAATGTTACAACTTTCCATCTACCGGAAAGTGTTCCTATTTCTTTCAAAATAAAAGTAAATTCTTATCCAAACAGAGTCATTAGGTTAGGACTGCAAAACATACAAAATAAAGAAAAACATAACGTAACATAACATAAACTGCCTTCAAATGTTCTATATGTATAACAATCGAAAAGGATTTGGCTCGCCATATGTCCAAATATCCTTCTTTAAATAAAAGTTATCATGCCTGTCACCTTCTTTTTCATTGAGTGAAGGCATTTACATCTAAAATCTAAGAAATGTATGAAATTCCAGAACTGACCATACCTTAATTGCCTTCCATATCTAACTTGATGCAGCCACATTTAACATTTATACACAACCAATACAACACACATTGATATAAAAAAACCAAAAAAAACTTCTGTATATACTGACACACTCTGTCTCTCTCTGTCTCTCTCTCTCTCTCTCTCTCCTCAGACATCCGCTGTTCCCCCTGCTGGCGTTGTTATTTGAGAAATGTGAGCAGGCCACACAGGGATCTGAGTGCATCACATCGGCCAGCTTTGATGTGGACATTGAAAACTTTGTGCACCAGCAGGAGCGAGAACACAAACCTTTCTTCAGTGAAGACCCAGAGCTGGACAACTTGGTAAGACAGGATGGGTCACATACAGTATTACATGATGATCATAAACACACCTTAGGCTAGAGCTCTAGTTTGTTGATTTACGGAACATATATTCAGTTTAAAAAAAGTGCAATAAGGCTGTAGAAATTCCTGTTTAGTTGCAATGCATCCCATCACAAGTACTACTAATCATTCCCTCCTCTTTCATGACATGTAATCGTCCTCGTCTTCCTCCTGCACGTCCCCTTGCATGACAGCGAGCAGTAATTGCAAATCAAGAGAAGGGGGATGCTGACAGTGTTCAGAGACAAAAAGAAGGGGAGGAGTTGAAGTCAGACAAAAGACAGAGACAGGAAAAAAAAAAAAGTGCACTTCTGCCTCTACAGTACTTTGGACGGCCTGTCGACTAGTGCTGAACAGTCAATTAACCCTGCATCTGTGTGTTTTATGAGGCGCTGGGTGCAGGCGTCCCTCCCAGAGGGCTCTAACTCTTCCTCAGGGCCGTAATGTAACACCGGGGCCTGACTGGCTGTGATGGCCAAAGACTTACTGGTCCCTTGATTAAGTGAGCGCGGTTTAATTAGCTGATTTATCTCCTCCTTGGCCAAGCACTTTTCTGTCCATCCTGGTGACCTTGAGCGGTGACTTTGAGGAGTGCACTTGTCAGACTGCTGCACAGAGCGGAGGAGAGTCAGGCTGCTGATGATCAGATTGAACATATATCCATAACCTTCATTTATTAGAAGATACTAATATACCCTTAGTTTAACAAACGCTCTCAACACACAGAGGTTGTTTTTTTCTGCTTTCGATTATGAATTGATTAGAAAACAGTGTTTGCTATCACTTCAGGAAACAAAACCCATGCATCACATACATACACTTTAATATAGCACTCAGACACAAGGAATACAATTATGTATGGTAGGTGCAGGATAACAATAAAGAGCGCTTCTCCCCAGCCTTGTTTTTTTTTTTGCTAGCAGCATGTGTGTCTTTGTGTCTGCAGGGCCCTGCACTCATGCCCTTTTGTTAGCATTAGCGGGCGGTTTACCTTTGCTAATTGGGAACAATGTGCATGCGCTTTTCAAAAACACAAGACACAAGGAGATGAGAAAACGGCTGCGAACATTGAGTCATTAAAGGACGCGTTGGTGAATCTGACAGAGCCTTCATAGAAATCTTCTTAAACAACTTAATAAAAAAAATCTAGAAAATTCTTAAAAATATATTTGTGAATGAGGCCTAATGCTCAGTTTTACTATCATTTATTTACTATTATTATGATAATTCTGACTATTATGATCCACATAAAACTTAAATATTTATGTCAGACCCAATAATGGGGCTCTGGGTAGTCAGTCCCACTGCCCCCTCCCCACTATGACGCCCCTGCTGCTCTATAAGTAAATGCAATAATTTACCTTACATTGATACAGTGACATTGTAGCTAAGAATTTCGCTCACTAAAAGATGGATGGAAGGGTTTTTAGATTCTGTATAGCCTAGAACTGTGTTAGTACGTATTTTCATGAATTCATTCATCTTGATAATTTTGTGGATATATCTTTAAATTGTGTCAACCATCTCAGAGTAATTCTTCTTTTAGGTTTGTGAAGCTGTAATACATATGAGTAAGAGACCTCATAGCAGCAGTGTTATATTTGGATTGAAGTATCTGTTGAGAGCAGAGAAGGAAATGTGACTCTGAGACTGAGGAAATGTTTATGTCTGATATTTACGAGTCAAGGTGATGTCTTCTTTCTAGCCTTTTAGAGATGAACCGAAGCAGCCAGGAATTTGTGCGCTGTACCTTCTAGCAGAATATAAGCAACACTGTGAAGATGAAGACTTTGCCAGTGATTGTGAGATCTTTGTCAGCATGGGTCAGCGATGGTCTGTACTTTGTCAGCCATGTGTGTTGTGTTTCTGTGTTTTCTGACCATGGCTGAATAAATCTAAGATGATCCACAGTCTGTTTCATGATTTCACCATTGTTCATCTCCTACAAAAATAACCCCCACCTAACAAACTGTTACAACACCACTCTAGGTTGTAGTATGTGTGAAGGTGATCTGTTGATATGACTCTGTTTCCTTTAGATGGTGAAGGCTATTCAGGTGTTGCGGATCCACCTGTTGGAGTTGGAGAAGGTCAACGAGCTCTGTAAAGACTTCTGCAACCGCTACATCACCTGCCTCAAGACCAAGATGCACAGTGACAACCTCCTCCGGAACGACCTGGGAGGACCCTACTCTCCGTCACACACCAGTCTCAACATGCAGCAGGTCAGTCACACACTCCCTGTGGAGCTTACTCTTTCTTCAAGGCATCAATCCCAGAGTAGCGTTTTCTAAAGATACATCCTGTCATTTAACCACCAGGAAGACCCTGCTGTGGGCAGGTTTTAGGCCATACTCAGTAAGGATTTACCTCTTCACATTTCACTCACTAGTGTCTCTCTGTGATCCCCCAGGAACTAATTCAGACCTCCTCTCCATCCATGACCTCTGTCTCCAGCTCTGTTAACCCTTCTGGGATTGTGGTGCCTGCCGGGACTCTGCAACAGGGCAATCTATCCATGACAACCATCAACTCTCAAGTGGTGTCAGGTAAGCCCTTTGTTTACAAACAAACCTTTTAAAAAAATAGCACCCTCAAACATCAGCATAACCACATTCATTTTGACTTATATGAAGGCTTCCTGTGTCACATTTTAATCTTGAGGCAGCACATCGTAAATTATCGATTTAATGTCTCATGAGCCTTTTATTTAAATCTGCTTTTAACGGTTATGTAGAATAACTTACATTTGTGACCAGACAAGCACACATTCGAAGCAGGGCATCCAAATTGAAGGAAATATTCAGGGTTTTTTTTTCTTCCAAATTTGGACTCACTTTGTCACTCTTGTTCATTACTATCTGTACACCTTAAACAGCTCAGCATAAATTCCTTCAATGAAAAACATTATGTTAAGTCCATTTACATTCTTTTAGGATCTGTGTCCATCAACTGTGTTTTTTGCACAGGCAGCACCCCTAACCCTCAGTGTCACAGCACTTCTCAATGGCATTTACTGTTGCTAGGTTACAAAAAATTGACTTCTTCCATCTTGTTGTGACCGTGAGGTCTGTTTTGAAAAGCTCCGTGCATTTGACTTTATTCCATGAATGTTTATTCAAAAACAATGGAGCAGCTCTAGACCTGGTAAGAACAGTTTCTCCTCCGCCATTGTTGTTGACAAACTTGATATCAGAAGTCCCGCCCCTTCTTGGGTTTGATTTGTTGCTAAGGGCCATTGACGAGCATGACAGTTATCCAAAAGTTTAACTATTTCCATCTGAGAGCGCGGTGAGCAAAGCAACCAAAAACAGTTGATGCTGAGGGCATTTTTGTGCAGAAGACATTGAGCTCTGAAAACTCTGAACTGCATTGTTTTTTTTAATGGAAACAGATACTGCCAAAGACTACAACCCTACATGACTCTGCCTTTCCATCAGACTCCCATCCTTTGTTACTTTTCTTAGTCTTAGTCTTGTTTTGTCTTGTATTCTTATTGTTACTCCACTATGTAAAGCGTCCGTGGGTCCCTTGAAAGGCACTATATACATTCATATATTTTTTTTTCTAATATCATTATAATGAAAAAGGTGCTAGTAGACACAGGCCCTTATAAGTATGACATAGCTTCAAAGAAAAGAACTTCACTGTAAGACTGTAAGACCTGTGGATTCTTTTCCTGCATGTTCTTCCCCCCTCTCTCTCTCTCTCTCTCCCTGATTTCTGACTCTATCAACTGTCCTATCTCAAAAATAAAGGCATAAAAAGTCCAAAAGTACATCTTGAAAAAAAGATTTTTGATATAATAATAAGCAATATCAATAGCTCAGTTTTCCCATTTGATTTCAACTGCAGTGAATAACCAGAACACACCTCTCTGATTTAAACTGGAACATTTAACTTTTTATTTTTCTTGTTTTATTCACTATGCATCATATTGACTGTGTTTTGTGTATATGTGTATGAGAGATGTGTGCTGGTGTTCTTCACAGGGTTCTTGGCTGATGGCTTCTTGTAATGTCAAGCCTGTACAGTGAAATGTTAATCCTGCCCTCTGGAAATCCCTTTTAACCCAAAATAAATCAATTCCTCCGCCTTTGATCAGTACACATTGAAGAGCTCAAACAGACCGTGATGAGAGTGTCTTGATCAAGGCTAATTAAGCCAGCAGCAAAAAAAAAAAAAAAAAAACAGCCCTCTTCCTTTTTTTCCCCCCTCTCTGGGTTAAAGGATGTTAACATACCTTGAATTTAATCACTTTGTGTCCTCTTTGCCTGTTTTTTTTTGTTTTTGTCGGGCTGACAGTGAGTTAATAAGGCTCTGCTGGTAATGCGGGATGTGGCTGCCAGTAGCTCGCTGAAGCCACTTAATACTCATGACGGCAAATTATCCCCTCAGGTGGGACCCTGTATCAGCCGGTTGCCATGGTGACATCGCAAGGGCAAGTGTTAACGCAGGCACTGCCACCGGGAACCATCCAGATCCAGAACTCACAGGTAACGCAGCTCGACTGATGATGCTCTGGTCGACGCTTTCACTCCCTCTTCGTACTGTCGCCACCAACTCTCAATATATTATGATTAAAAAAAGGAATATCTTAACATCCAACAGAAACCCCTCTGGGCATCTTTTCATTGTCTCTGTCTGAACTCAGGCCCCCTGCTGACAGACAAAATAGAAAGTGTATGTTCCCATGATGTTCAAGGTGCTTACATGATTCTGTCAGGTTATAATGTGAGTCACAGTCATGTAAGGACATGCACTCAAGACTGAAGATGAAATATGTTTCTAATTTCAATTTAACAGATGCATAACTCAAAACACGATTCTCGCTCTCACTCCATGAACCTGTGAAAACTTTGGATCATCAATCAATCAATCAATCAATCAATCAATCAATCAATCAATCAATCAAACCTAACCCTATAAAAAAGGAAGAAAGAGAGTTGAATTGTGGAATTATTGAAATAACAAGTTTTATCATCTTGCAACAACAGGCTTTAGAAACACAGAACCTGAACAGATGGACACATTGGAACAGTCATCTGTAGCAGTTGTAAGCCTGTAAAAACTTCGACCAATGTCTGCCACGATGTCTCCCACCAATCACACGCCTCCCTGTCTCCCTGCTCGTTCTCTACCCCTTGAGTGCACTAGCCCAAAGTAAAGAGCATCACTGATGATGGAGTTTATACTCTGAGTTTTTCGCATAGTCAATTTTTTTTTACCTATATTATGATATAGTTTTGTGATTATTTACCACTGAATGAGAGATGAGCTGAGGTCCGCTTCAGGACCAACGCCACTCGTGCATGTAAGTGAGGGGCGTGGCTTTAGAGGGAGCACAGAGGGGAGGGGGTGGGTGTAGACGGAGCACTGAGGGAATGTTACTTTCAAAATCATGCTAGTTTTTGATTTCGAATTACCAACCCTACCCCTAACTGCTTAAGTATTAGGTAGTTGACGAGCTGAATGGCCCTCATACCTGTCTTACAGAATGTAACAAAAGTGGAAAAATTTAGAATCTAACTATCCTTCCATCCATTATCTATACCACTTCATATACCCATCTGTCTTTGGACTGTGGGAGGGAGCCGGACTACAGAGAGAGAGAACCCATGTATGCACAGGACTACATGTAAACTCCACATAGAGGGTCCCTGTCCATCCAGAGGTTTTGAACCAGGAACCTTCCTACAGTGAGATAACATTGCTTACCGCTGCACCATGCAGCCACTAGGGGTGGAAAAAAAAATCGATTTATGTTAAAATCGAGATTCTTATCTTGTGAGATTTTAAATTGATTCATAACTTCAATTTTTTTGGCTAATCAGTCACTCCCTGCTAAGGCTAGTTCTTTAACTCAGTAGAACGCCAAATGCAGCAGCAAGAAAATCAGCCAGTCTCACGGATGACTGGAGTAGATCCTGAAGCAGTAATTCAAAATTAGACTTTGAATCAAGAATCATGAATCCAGAATTGTTTTGAATTGAAAATAGATTCTGAATCAATTCCTGACCCAAATAATCAATTTTGAATCAAATTGTGAGACACCAAAAGATTCCCAGCCACCATAATCTATGATGTAGTTCAATATTTTACTGTAAAAGATTCAGATTACTGTATTGATTTAATGTCAAAGCCACAGCCCATTTTTCAGACACTTCAACGACAAAAAACGAATCCGGGAGCATGCTGGTTCAAACAGTCCTCCGTTTGCAGTACTATTGTCCTGAAGAGCGTCTCAGGCTCACACAGGTAATTCTGTGCTTGACAGTCAGAGGAGACCTCTGTGAATAACCACGACCCAGCTGAGGAGGACAGCTACATGTGCGGGGAATTGAACGCAGCCCCGCCGCTACTTTGCCGACAAGCCCCGAGTAATCACACTCTCAAGCTCGCTGTCGCCAATTAATTCAACCTAGCTTTCCCTCAGAACGCACACACTCCCACATGCACACACACACACACACACTCCCGGGGCTGGGGGTGGGGGGATGAGAGGAGGGTCACCCACGTGACACCCAGCTGCAAATCTAATGAGTTTGGTTTTGTGTGTGTAGGGGATCTGGGCGTGTGTGGATGTGTATTTATGGACATTAAGGGGAGGGTTTGTCTGTTATTCATCTCCAAGATCTCTCAGCTTCTTTCTACCACCACACTCTGCGTGAAATAATTCAAGACTTGCATTTTGTATTTATTTATACATGCAGTTTGTCCTGTATGCTTATGAGCATGAGATGTTCATTAGTATTCTCATATTTAAAGTACTTCAGAAGTAAAAGTGTCTCAAATCTCATTCAAACAAACATTTATGAAAACCTCAATTGCCTGTACGTCTAAGACATTCTCAGTGCAGTGAAGAGATGCTTTGTACCAGATTTAGCTAACTAGCTAATTTCCATCTGTTGTCCCTGTACTGTATATGTAGGCACTGGGCAGTAAATGATATTGTGTGATGTGATGATTGTGTCATAACGCATTAAATTAAGATATATTCTCAATATTCACTATTAACTAATTGTTTATTAGCATGCTAATTAGTAGCATACTTGCTGCTTATTAGTATCTTATTCTACATAACCATCTATAGCTAATATGCCAATAACTATAAGTTTGCTTCAATACCCTCCTAAATAATGCTTATTGATGGTAAGTTATGAAGTAAGTTACATGGATTATGATCATAATATGCTTTGCTAAGTGTAGAAGTAAGCATAAGCATATTAAGATCATATTTCCTGTAAATAGTAGTGATTGAAGCCCGAGTGACGTCACCCATTGGTGGGGGTCGCCATGCAGGAAATACTGTCTCAACACCAACACCAGACAAATAGCTGGAGCTGAGGCCGTTCTTAAGTCTCACGACAAATGATTACACTCAGTCAGATCAGATTAATTATGAATAACTCTTATCTTTCATAAAATCAACAAAGTAAAGATTCCCCGCTACCGTACAGTGTGTGCTGATAAAGACATGAGCATGTCAGACTCATTTTGTTTTCTGAACCAGGCTGCAAATATGTATGTTTCTACTGAAAAAAAGGAGGCTTCTGCAGCCAGCTTCAAGTGGACACTTTAGGAACTGCAGGTTTTTGCACTTTCGCTTTGGCTTCATTTTTCAACACCGAAGGTTGCCGCTTTCTTAGAACTAATCAAACCTCATTGTTACCATATCCTGACCAGAACCTCCCATAAAAACCACAAAAACTCTACAGACACTAATGGACTTTCTAGATTTGGTCCTCACAAGTGTTGCAACCAGACTAAATACTTTGTCTGTCACACACACACACACACCCCACACACACACACAGATCCATATGTCCACCACAGGCTGTCAGAGCTGTCAATAGTCTGGGAGCATCTCGTCCTTCAGCGCTCACACACACCAAACAATAACGTGTAAATAATGATTTCTGAGAGAGAACACAAAGACAGGCTCAGGTCAACACAAACACACAAACACTGTCACACTTTACACACGCTGCTCCACAAACGGTCCTAAACTGTGACAGCCATAACTTTTGACTGAAGACTTGTCTGAGCTCCAAACAGACTCTGACCGTCCTGTTGGTCCGCACAGTCAAGTGTTCAGCTTTTATTATGTTTTAAGTATCATTACTCAAATTCAGTTACCATGGTGACACTTGAGGAGGTGTTTCTGCCCTTGCCACTGAAAAAAAAGACAGGTAATTGGTATTCTCCTTTTGTTTCCGTGGCAACCATAACAAAGCCATCCACTCATTTGATTTCTCTTTTTTTAATTCCTCCCTGTCTCTCTTCTCTTCTCTTCTCTTCTCTTCTCTTCCTGGTGTGTGTGTTTTTAAAGGTCAACGTGGACCTTGCGTCCCTGCTGGACAGCGAAGACAAGAAGTCCAAGAACAAGAGGGGGGTCCTGCCCAAACACGCCACCAACATCATGCGCTCCTGGCTCTTCCAGCATCTCATGGTGAGGCAGAGAAGTGGTCTAACACATGTGTAGGGTCTACAGTCGACTCAGAGGGACCTTTATTTAGCTTCCTAAGGGAGATAATATTTGAAAACTCACATGTATGCTTTCACATTGGGAAGTCAACATTAATTTTGTCCCCTTCCAGCACCCGTACCCCACAGAAGACGAGAAACGACAGATTGCTGCACAAACGAATCTCACCCTCCTGCAAGTGAACAACTGGTAAGATGCTGTCAGCTGAAGGCTGAAGATGTGTTCAGAAAGACATCACTTTACATTCTTGTTGTGAGAATAGGACTGAAGGCTTTGCTTAAAACAAACTTGAAATTGCCAACGCTTCTGTACATATTATCAGCATTGTGCTGCCATCTCCTGGCCATATTTAGCAAGTACAACAAAGGAGACTAAATGTCTCTTTTCTTTTGATGTGCCACTTAGGAAATTAGGGCTGATTTCTTTTTGTTCAATCTTTTAATGTGATATTTTAATGTACCTCTTTTTAAATAAACGTATTAATCTTGGTCCACCTAACATTTTGAGGTCTGTAATATCATCAGAAATGGAGCCATCACAAGAAACACTATGTGGCAGCCATTGCTGGCATGTTACAGTCAAACCGATGTATATCATTTTGTATCAGAAGTTTTTAACTAACAATTTGTGTTTGGCACATTCCTTTTTTAGCAAATTAATAATATTAAACTTATTCAACCCTTTTAATTTACTTCATTTTCAGGATCACAGAACAGAAGGATTATGCGTTTGAAAATCTACACAACATGCATGAAACAATGACATTCAAAGTCTCACCAATAGGTTCTCCGAATCTTTCATTCCTTTTGACATAATTTGTAAGCCATAAGACAGTAAGGAAAGGGCTGAACATCCTCTTTTCTCTTTTGTTCAGGAGATATGTTGCCAAATCCATCGTTTGTTCATCAGTCAATCAATCTTTATTTTTATAGCGCCAATTCATAACAAATTTTCTCTTAAGACACTTTACAGAAGAGCACGTAAAAGACCTTACTCTTTGTTGTATTATGTTACAAAAGAGTTCCAACATTAATCATGATCATGAGCACAGCAGCAACATTTAGTAAAGTGACAGTGGCAAGAAAAAAAACATATTTTTAAGAGGCAGAAACCTCGAGCAGAACCAGACTCATGATGAACAGCCATCTGTTAAACTGTGTTGGGCTTGGAAAATGAGATGTAGGGAGATACAGGAAGAAGGAAAGGGACAAACAGAGCAGCAACAACAATGAATAACATCTATTTATAGATACAATGTCAGTAATAATTATTAAAGTAACAGCAAAGTATGTTAATTATAGAGGTTGAAGTTGAGCAGCTCTAAGATTCACTTTAATATTTATATTAATGATAATAGATGTAAGGCTGACATTATATTATATATTATTATACTATTGGTTGAAAAGCTGCCTCCATGGCTGCTCAAGTCCATCACTGTAGGAGAACTCTTGGTTTTACCTTTACTTACAAGTGAACATCATTTAAAACTCATCTTATCATCTTTTCTGAGACATTTTAAAAAGTTGGTGGTAAAATTGAATGGTCAGAAACTTTTCTTAGTGAGGAGGCGTTGTCGACCCAGTTGCTAGGTATGACACATTTTTTTCAGAACCTGTGATTGGTTAATCCAAAAAGAAATTGAAAAAAAAATCAAACATAGAATCCAGTCAGACATAGTGTACTTATGAAAATTATGGAATTATAATATGTGTGAAAATTTGTAAGATGTGTGCTTTTGAAAGTTTAAAACCTACAAAATAGAATAGAATAGAATTACTTTATTGATCCCAAACTGGGAAATTGTGGCGTTACAGCAGCAGGTTATCCAAACACACAATATGAGCAAAAAAAAGATGTTTGAAATCACACGCGCACTTCACAGCTTCTTCTATCAGCATGTGAAGAGCCTTAATTAGTGATTAGATACACCTGTGGAGGTAACCACACAAAGACAAACTCGAATGCATGTCTCACTTTGTACTGAAAAAAGTCAGAGATAGATTGGAAATTACCCAACTATGAGTAAAAAAAGAATGTCTTCATGTAGTGTTTCCCGTTTTTTCCTCAGCTTGAGAAACTCTTAAGCCTGACAAAAGTCCTCCTCACTACTCCTCACAGCTTGTCACATTCAGAGCTCTCTTTGTGAATAACTTTCATCTTTAGAAGGGTCTAGTCTTAACTTTGAGGTGAAATTCTCAGAAAATGTCCTGATTCTAAGAATTTGCTTAGAATTTTGTCTCTAGGAGCTACTCTAGTATTTAGGAGGCTTTGTGAGACTTCTCTTAGCTAGCACTATGTGTATTCATAGAAAAGACCGTTTGGTATTAAAAAACTGTTTCAAAAAGTTGGGGGATATGTATTTCAAATGACTGATTCACATATCGTGAATTAAAACATATATTGATCCAGAACAAAGTCAGAGGCTGTGGTGGATGCACTCTTTCCTTATTAACCTCTGTTGTTGTTTCCTTTTTGCTTATATATATTTTTTATTAAATGATAAAATGTTTTGCTGTTCTAAAATGAAGGGTATATCTGTAATAATCCCCCCTCACCTCCTGCCCTTGTCTGCACCCCATAGGTTCATAAACGCCCGTCGGCGTATCCTTCAGCCCATGCTGGATGCCAGTAATCCAGACCCGGCTCCTAAAGCCAAGAAGATGAAGTCCCAGCACCGCCCGACTCAGCGCTTCTGGCCCGACTCCATCGTAGCCGGAGTCCTGCAGACGCACAGATCTCAATCAGGAAACAACTCTGACAGTACGGCAACACTTCATTTCATGGAGCAAAGTATCCCAAAAAAAGTACATTGTTATCTTCAGTGCCTTTATAATGACTACTAGCTGCCACTGCTACCACTTAATGAGGTGGGAGGATGATACCAGAGCTCAGAAGTTTTCTCCTGTTGACACAGAAGCTTCAAACCTTACTGTGCTTTGAAAAACATACATTACTTCCATAGCTTGACAGTTTTAAAGCTAAACTAAAGTGGGAAACAAAAACAGAAGAGAATTACAGAAGTATGGACATTTACACCATAGAAGAAGAATCCCTAGGAGGGGAACCTTTCCACCTGATACCAATTATGAAAATCTGTTATAAGGAACATCAAGTTTCCACAATGAAATGCCAATTAAGTTTCAACACTGCAGTTACCCACATAAGCAAATAGGTACATTTATGTTTAAGTGGCAAAATTATTTTATATCTAGGTTTTTAGGACAACATATAGTTATTCAATACAAAACCCTAATACTACATATATCATCAACAACATTTGGAATCATTTGAAGCAAAAAGCCAGGCTGATTAATATCCGTGAGCTGAGGTGGTGCTATAGTCCTGCAAGTGAAAGGCTGCTATATGTCTTACAGCCACTAGATGTCACTGTTTGCATAGTTAGAAGTAGAGAGAAAGAGCCAGCAATCTTCATATGGCTTCATCTGCCTGTCAGTGCAATACTTCAATGTGAAATGATGTAAGAAACAAGTGTGTCACAGTCTTAAAACCAAATCAACATCTTCCCACAGAAATCCAGTTGGATTTGAGTTTATATAAGTATGTAGACCATGTGGAGCCCACTCTCTTTAAGATTAGGGGGGAAATAACACGAGGCAATCCGTACCGTGTGCCCAAGCACGTTTGATCCCCAAAGTCCAGTTTGTTTAACAAGTGTGCGTGCTCCTTTCCCTGCTCAAACAAGATACACTAACTTGGCCCTGATACAGTTGGAAGAAATGTGCTTCAGCACGGTATTGTTGCTCCTGCACGAGTACAAGCACAAGCACGGGTAGGCCTACACACTGTGGACATGACGTATAAACGATCCCAGCCTTCCATTATCGAGAGATCCTGAAATGTTATGTGAGTGTCTGCATGGTATGGAGGCAACTGGGCCTTGTGTGAGTGCACCCTAAGAAATGTAGTGTTTTCCATTGAAGGCCGGTTTAAGGTCCCAGTTGTTGGTTTTGTATTTAGGTCAGAACCAAGACTTCAGCAGCATACTGAGCCTTTAGTTTAAAAAGAGAGAATGCCAAGTGCCTTAAAACTGCATTCTTCCCAAAGGTCAACACAGGGCAACTACTCTGGTTTTATAAAGGAGTCTGATTGTGTGAAACAGGCTGCAAAATGAGACTACTTTTTCAATGATTTAGCAAACTCAAGCTTCCATTTTACCATGACCCTGATGACTGAGAACATACACTGATACCTCAGTGAACATTTCCCTACTGATTTTTGGGTCTCAATTACAAGTTTCAAATCATCTTCAAAGCAGGATCATGTTGATTTGGTAAATTATGTTCCAATTTAGAGTTAAATAGATGATAAAGATGGCTATATATGCTGTAGGGTGAGGCTACCTGAGATTGACAAAAACCTATAATGGTCACTTGTCCAATATAAAGACATGTTAATACATCCAAACCAATGTTAAAGGACAAGGTGGCTGTTGTATTTTTTGAGAAGTGGGTAGTGTGAGTGAAAAGGATGGAGGATGGTGGAGTCAATCACCGCTCACCTGGTCCCAATTGTTCAAATTGTTATGTAGTCCAGCTCACTTTATCACTGTTTTCAAGAAAAAATAACTGGATAGGATCAAGCTGATCTAGATACAGACTTTTAAGAATCACCTAAGCCAGATAAAAGGGGAATTGATACTATATGCTTAGTCCAATAGGGGCGCCAAAATCCACACAAACTGAAAAATGTTTCTGCTGCATTCAATTTAAGATTACATTTTTGATACTGATTATATTTGGATGCAACATTTTATGGAGACAATATACAACTGTAATGTGTACCTCTAACCTTTGTCACTACAGCAAAACAACAAATTAGAACGAAAAGAAATGTCTTAAAAGTTTCTATTAAAAAAAAGTTGCATTGTTTGAGCAATTTCCTAGTTTTCTTAATTTTTTGTCCCTGTAATACATCTGAATCCAGCTCTCTGCTCTGATCAGGATGATCCTGATATTTATGGATCAAAGTTAACCCAATCACACTCAAAGGTTTTGAACAACAGAAACAAACAGTGAGGTTTGACTCAAAAACTCAATCAGTGCTAAGTTAAAAAGAACATCAATGGCCGCATCACACAGAGACAGGTCGCCCTGGGCATGCGGCTCCTGAGCCTGAGCACATCTGGGAGAAAAAAAAACTGATGGGAGGGCAGTTGTCTTGCCTTTGGCTGCGTGCAAACATGGACAATCAAATAAAACATGTGGTAAAAATGTATTCAAGCAAACGTGGAGCTCTTGCTGTTGCCTAGCTGGTAAGTGAGGAGGAGAATAAATGTGTTAAAAAGCGACAGTAAATCCTCCTTCTTGAGGCAGCTACTCCGACTTCTTGAACTAAAAAGTTGAAAAGCTTTTACGCACACCCGAAGACCACAAGAAAAAAAAATGCGTCCCTCAGGCAGGCAAGCGTGTTGTGCCATAGGAAAACATTAGTTTTGCTGGCGACGCTTTTATAGCAACGCATCTCTGTATGATTTGGCCCTAAAGCAAACCATTTGTGTACATATTTGCGACCAGGTTTAGAAGACAAAATCCTTTGGCTGAAACTCGTTTGTTTTCCTCAGCCACTGTTGTCTTCATCATGAAACTTTTAATACTAAATTGAGAGTGCTGACCTTTTTTTTTTTAACCTCAATAAAAACCAGGGTTCCATTACGCTCTCTTAGCCGAATACATAATCCTTTTTTCTTTAAAAAAAAAAAATCTGAACTAAACAATGCTTCAAAGTGCAAATTTATCATTGTTCAAATGACAACATAAACTCTAAAAAGAATATACACCTTCCTCTCAGTTTAAGTATCATTATTTGTTCAAGTTTCAGTCTGGCATTGGAGACTGTCAGCTCCATGACAGAAGTTATTTCATCTATTTATACAGCTAGTAATAATAATAATTTATGTATAGAATAAATGTTGATGTGCTGACTCTATGTGCACAGATTGAAGTAGAAATCAGTGTGAATATCTAAAACTTAATAATCACACTTCCTGTTTTGGTGTCTCCCCTCAGACCCTCTGAGTATGGACTCCCTCCACTCGCTGTCATCGGACTCAGCCACACTGGCCATGCAGCAAGCCATGCTGGGAGCCGACGACTCCATGGACGGCACCGAGGAGGAGGAGGAGGAAGAGGAGGAGGAGGAGGAAGAGGAGGAAGGAATGGAGGAGGAAGAGGAGGAGGAGGAGGATGGGGAAGAGGACAACAACAGGGAGAGACAAATGTCCAGCGTGGGAGGAGGAGGAGTGAGGAGAGAGCTGAGCATGGCGCACAGAGAGGAACTGGAGTAGGACAAAACGTTACAAAATGTAACCTCAGCTGTGCCCTGAACACAGCCTCGCTCAAACTCTGATGCTGAGTGACTGTGCAGAGCTTTAAAGGGCATACACATGTTTTTGTCCCCATCAGAGACTCTTCCACAGAGCCACCACGGAGACCGATCAGACACAACGACCACCTTGATCATGGTTATAAAGGACAAATATTAGTTTAATGATGAATATGTGTTGTTTCATTCTAATATAGTATGTTTTCATGCAGTGGGCTCCTCAAATATTTGGATAGTAGCACATTTTTTGTACTCTTTAGCGCTCTGTATTTTTGAAAAGAAATGGCACGGGTAATTAACTGTTTGAAAGAGTACTGTCTGTTGGATGGTTTCACCCATTTCAGAGGCAGAGAATAAAAATAAACTGAATACGTTCAGAGAGCTGTTACATTTAAAAAGAACACAATAATGTCTTCAGAAAGACACCAAGGAGTTAGTAGTTTCACATGGATCAATAATGTTTGCACAGTGAAAAGCTTTGACTAAACGTGACAGACTTTCAACTCGTCCAAAACAGCAGCTCGGTCAAGGGTCCAAGGCTTCAAAATATGACACTTTAGGTTTTTTTGTTATGTCATTTCTTGAATTTATCCTCTAGTTTTTCAATTTTAAGTTCAGATGAAGGCAGGTGCGGGCCTTGAATGACAAAAAAAACAAAAAACAGAAGGAACTCATCTTGAAGACTAGAGTTCTTGTTCCATATTAAACCAACTGTCAATATCGACTCGTCTTTAAAAGTTTTTATTACACTCCTCCTGCACCTCTCTTCAGTGATTTAGGCGGAATAAAGGCAAGACTGCATCACTTCATACGTTGGAGCTGACAGGATGGAACCTAACTGACCATTTTTAAAGTTAAAGGAGCAATGTGTAACACTGACACTGAGCATTCAAAAATGGGTACTGCAGTCCAAATTCAAAACATTAGAGAGAGCTGCCCTTCCCTCTCTCTGTAGAGTCGATGTGCAAGCAGGTTTCCATGTGGTGGACACAGAAGCTTCAGTGTTTCGCCAGCTCGGCATCGGTCTGTAAACCTTTCTGCGTTCTAACCTCTCTCCATTTTTCAAAAACATCTCCAATATTGATCCTAGTTTTACCACATCTCTGCTGGTGGAGCTTATTAGAAACATGCTTTTTAGGTGGGGTATAAAATCACCTCTATCTGAACCAGTTCGCTTGTATGCTTCCATCGCTGCAACACCTCTTGTTTTGCCGTTTGCCTGGCAATCCGAGGGGTGTCCAAAACGGCTGTGTGGGGGTGCCATAAAACCACCTACCATCTCCGGTCAAGACAAAAGCATACAATTCGGCACTGGAATCAAAACTTAGAAGGAGGACACTTCAACAGAGCATTTTTCCTTCATGTCTGATCATATAGTAAGGTCACTTTATGAATTATTTCAGTAAACATCTTACATATTGGACCTTGAATTCAGACGTTGCTAAGCTATCATCGCTAACTTGACAGTAGATCCCTGGATATCTTGACCCTCATATTTTGAAGCGTAGGGCTGCTGACCAAGCTGCTATAACTGAACAATTTGGAGTGAAAAGTGTCTTAGAAAAACTTATTTGAATGTAATCAGTACAAATATTTGGCACAATGAAATGGGTTACAAAAAGGGCTGCAGGTTTTTTTTTTTAACTGTTACTTTCATATGACTGAACACACACTTAAACTTCACAATGTGTCATTTTGCTTCCTTAAAAAAGACTTAGAGGCGGATAAAGAAAAAAAGGTGTTATGCTGTCTAAATATTTGCATAGGTGACTGAATAAGTCGTAACGTGCTGAGACGTCATTCTCGCCTTTTTAAAAAATGACTCACAGGTTCTCAGGTTGAACAACACTTTCATTCAGCATGACTCTTCAATGTGAGAGAATCGCCCGACTGACTGCTCCGCTAAACCTTTTTTCGAGCATGACTTTGAAAAACAATCTTAGTTTACTTCTTTTTCAAATCCCATGAGCAAAAAAAAAACTTAAAAAAAACCTGTAGTAAACCAGTGAACTCTGACTGCACACGTAGTTTGTGTATTGGATTTTATGTTTGCACTCTGGTGTTGAAGGTTTGCATATTTATTCAGTTTTGTTTGTGTGGTCTCAGACAGTTGTAGCTCAACCTGACAATGTTCGGCTGCTTCTGCGTTTACTTCACAGTTTTTGCAAACCTTCTGAATGAGGCTTTTGTATTTTGTGAACACGGGTGAATTTGTCATGAAATGCGAGCATGGCAAGAACTGCAAGACGCTTCTTCAAACCGTCTCACCCAACTCTCAGCCTTGAAGATGAACAACACTTTGGAATCCAGACGTGACAAAGAAAATGTCAATTACTGTCAGACTGTTTCAGAGAAGAAGATTTTGGAGGAAAAATGACGAGAGAGAAAGGGAGAAAAAAAAACGGAATAATATCTCTTTCAATTCAATGTGAAGGATTCTGGAAGAAACTGTGAAACAATTTCAGCTCTGTTTTGTACTAAATCACAGACACGGAGTCGCTTGTTTCTAATGTGAAGATGTCTGGGAAAAGAAAAAAAACATGTTACATTGAATGTTCTGATTGTTCATTGTGAAGTTTGTTGCTCATTAATCATTTTTTCTTGACTTCTTTTTTTTTTAATGGATCTTCCAGAGAAAGTGACAAACATAGGAAATATTTCTATTTCATTTGTACACTTTGTTGTCATAATCTATTGTGTTTCAATAGAACAATTTTAATAATTAAACATGTAAAGGTACTGACTTTGTGAAGTTCTGCACATGTTTCAACTTGAACATATCTGGTTTGGTAAAATGTGACATTTAATGAGTGGGGCTGACTTTTAGAGTTCATGTCGACAAAAGTTATTAACAGATTTTTAAAATTTTGTTACAGATATCAGGAAAGTTTCAATGTGCTAAAGAATGCTTTTGTTGTGATATCAAATGTCAAATGGCATTCTTCAGTATATTGAAACTTAGTTGTAGATATTTCTCTCTTCTGAAAAAAGCTTTCCTGGTATCTGTAACAAGATTTTAACAAGATTGTAAGTAACTAATCCATTCATTCTACAATTCTACAATTCCTTTAGCAGAAGCTTTTATCCAAAGTGAAGTTCATCAGAAAGTAAGAACATCACAAGCAAGGACCTAGAACGGAGGAAACAACGTCAGTAAGTGCGAACAAAAAAGCTTTATGTTTGATCGAACACACAGGTGCTGACAGGAAGTGACCAGAGGCAAAGCACTACATCAATAGCTGTTCTTGAGAGCTCTAATCAGCATCAAAACCATCCCAAAATCATCATTATCAAAAAAAAAGCATCACCATCATCAATAATATCCTTAAAGTTGTAGGTGTTCATAAAGAGCTGGGTCTTTAGCTTTTTTTTAAAGGTGCAAAGGGACTCTGTAGATCCAATAGAGTTTGGTAGTTCGTTCACCACCGGGGGGCAACAGAGGAGAAGAGTCTAGTCAGAGACTTAGGACCCTGTTGTGGAGGTTGGATCAGACACCTTTCATTTGGCAGGGTGAGTGTATCGGGCGGGAGGGAGTGTAGACCTGGATGATACATTCAAACTCCGCCGACGAAGCAGCTGCAATTTTTAGTTTTGAACATAGAGAAATTAACATGAGACCCCTTAAGATTAATGTTTGGCCTTAAGCCTCGTTTATAGAACAGCTGAGAGACAGGACATGTGGCAAAAAGAGAGAGAAGGGCTGACCACCAATTGGTCACATGTTGGTTGACCTTTACTCACAAGATATTCCATGAAGAATTACATGAATTAATTTCATTTTACATGTAATTATACTGGAAAAGATTAAATGTAACTTTGTAAAAGTTAAAACTGGTTTACAGCAGGTTCCTGTTCTGCAGCAATAAAAACAAAGACCACATTGGACAAAAGACACAACCAACATCAGGCTTAACAGCAACACAGACAATCGTGGGGGGACTGTTATTGACATTTATTAGTTAAATCAGTGATTACATGTTTGTCTATTCATCAGGTGGTGTTTAAATGCCTGCTTGAAAGTCGTAGATTTACAATTGCGGTTATGGGTTCTGGTAGATTTAAAGGGTTTACCATGCATCCAGGTGGATATATATATTTCCAGGCAGCAAGTTGGCAGTGTGATTCATTATTCAAGTAATGAATCGCAGAACAAGAAGAACAAAACCACATGCAAAATTAACAGCGAGTGTTGTTCCCGGAAACACGTCTGAAAGCCAGGATTACAATAGAGAAAGACGTATGTGATGACACTTTCAAACCCTTTCTGGCTCTGTCTCATTGTGTTTCCAGATTACAGAGTTGGTAAATATTGGTTTACTTCCCTCATTTTCCTGTCACATGTTGTTTCTCCCACCCACTGCTTATTGCAGAAGCCTGTGATTTAACGCCCAGCCGAAAAGCTCTCCCACCTTCAGCAGGGCCTCTGCCATGAAAGAGCCCATACAGAGAGCCCAACCGCAGGGTTCAGACTCTGAATGTCGAGCCATGCTCCCTCTCAGTGCATGGTAATCACTGTTGTGGGTGTGCTACATTGTATTGTTTTTACATGGCTTGTTCACTGAGGGTATAATTGCACCCTGGCACAGTTTCGGGCCCCCTGAAAAGGTCTTTGTATAATTGCATCAACTCTGTGCATCAAAAATACTTTCATCCTCCTTCAGCAGCAGTTTCTTGTAGGAGGAAATGTTCTCGCATGGTTTCAAATTAGGCTTTATGTAAAGGGGAGACAACAGATGATGTGGTGATAAAACACACGTTTTTATTAAAGTACAAGTAATATGATGAATCAATTATTCTACATCACTCACAGCCATTTTTACACTAGTAAATGTAGAAAAAGTACAGGCTCTCAAATATCCTCACTGTATAAAAGTCATCAATAACCCTCTGAAGGAATTTCAAACAGCAGTTTCTGTGCAAAGCTAGCTAAGCTGCATGTCATATTTGTGAGTCTACACCATTGACTGTATACAAGAATGACAACAACTCCCCAAAAGAGAAGCTAAAATATTTGAAGCGCTGCTTACAGACTGGCTGTAGTATAACTAAGAAGGTGACATGGGACATGGGTCAAACTATGAAATCGAAATACACAACAAATTATTTTTTCCTCACACATGGTTTCTGGTTATATATCTTTCTTATCATGCTTATTAATGTACAATCGTTCATTTAGCAGAGAAGTTTAGTTTAATTAGTTATTGCTATTACAAAAGGGGTATTACCTGATGATTGATATGACATGATAAATGAGGCTCCTGCAACCCAGTGTGCATTCATTAAACAAGTATTTATTCAACCTTTATTTATACTCGAAAGATCATTGAGGGGCAATCCTCATTTACATTGACATCAAGTCATTACAGAAATAATCAGAAGACAGACATTAAATCAAAAAGAAAAATGGGACAGATAATACAAGACTGCTAAAATCAGTCTACAAAAGTCTAAAATGTACTAAGATAATTTAGATGTACAAAACTGAAATAAATAAACACACTTATGTAAAACAGTTACAAGACATCCAGACTAAGCAGGCTCTTCAGTGGAGGGACAGTGAAAGGAAATGTAATGAATACTAACACAGGAGTCTTTGAACTTTCTATATCCAGGATTGTCTTCTTCAAAGTGACACAAGCTTCGGTTCTGCTGTGGACTGTACCCACCTGAGAGATCTTTGACGTTTAAGCTGTGTTTTGGTTAAAGGAAGGGATGGGACATCAATACTGCAGCTCAACCAGACCAACCTAACTGTGCTGTTTGGATAAAGGAAATCAGCCACATGTGTCAATGTCTCAGCCTACGACTGATATGTGTGCATTAACTTAAATTTACATTGTAGAGCTTCTCAACTGGATATGAGTGTTTCATCCAAGTGGCTAGGGTTCCTTTCCCACATGTCATGTCCTACTCTCTCTCTCAAGGACTTCCTATTCTGTCCACTGTCCTAGCCTTGTCTGCATAAAATTGAGGAAAAAGAAAAAAGAAAAAAAAGAAAGCCAACTTCCTTGACTTTTTTAGGAGAATCAACCCCAATGGTCTGGATTAAAGTCTTATGTTTATGTGACACATCCGTCATCCAAGACATCCAGACTAAGCAGACTCTTCATACTCAACACAATTACTGCCACAGCACATTCAAACAGCAGAAATGACACTGGAGGGGTATCTACAGCGTCATACAGTATATTTTGAGGGGTTTGACCAAAGACAAAGCTGACATCTTCTGACGAGTTTAGAGTGACAAAGGGTCGACACATGAACCTGAGAGTGCTGTTTTCTTACCTGTGCATTGGGCGTTTTAACAATCAACCAATGACACAGTAATGCTTCTAGACTGCAATTGGATTCACCATCTGCACTGAATAATTCTGATGAAGTGTTTCTTGATTTGCAGCACATTCTACATTACATACAGATATTTTACACATCTCCTGAGTGTCAAAAAGTTGGTTTGTTACATTTGTACTGCATATACTGTATGTTCAAATTAAGAAACATGGTTCACAGGTATTGAGTGGAGCCTGTACAAACTACCCAAAGTTTGTCTTTTCTGGTGCGGTAGAATACATAAATAGGTACAGCAAGGAAAGACTCACACTGACAAATGCATGAGTACAGACCAGGAGTCTTGGTGGAGAATATTCATATTGAAACATAGTAGAGCTGAACAGAACAGACATTTGTTTTTGTCCATGTTGGACTTTATTCAGTGCACAGTTAGCACTGAACTGTACTTTCTCTGCGAGTCCTTCCTGGCTGTACAGACTAAAAGAAAAAAAGAAGAACAGCACAACACAGTTATTCCCCTCAAAAGTGTTCCTGTATGTCAAATCCACTCAATCACATAGAATTTTTCACACTGTTGGTTTTTCAAACACATCGAGCTGCAGAGGTCAGAAACACCATCCCTGCTGTACGGTACAGTAAGTCAGCTAGCTGCAGCTCTGAGGGCTGAAGTGCAGTAAAAATAGTCCCTCAATGACAGAGGCTGGAAAAGCCACGGGCGATGGTTCACTTGTTTGAAGTGGGCCACAGCCACCCTGCCTCTCAGCATGGACTGCCCAGAAACACACACACACACACACACACACACACACACACACACACACACACACACACACACACACACACACACAGACACACACACACACACACACACACAGCTGGGTACTGCAGGTCTGCTGCAGTCAGGACCATCTGGGCGCCTCCATGCTCCCAGATGTCCTCTCTGTAATTAGAGCCAGGCCCGGCTCGGCCCGGTTCAGCCCAGATCCAACCTCTCATTTTACAGAGATCCTCCCTGAATACTTAAACAGCTCTCCAGCATCGAGCAGGCCTTTAGGGGAACATCTTTGGCTCTGCAGACATTAAAGATCATAATTTGCACCTGAGAAATTTGGAAGACTTCAGGTAAGACGGTTATTCATTTCATCATGTTTTTAAACTACCATCTAGATTAATGTTATGGAAAGGACTTTTAATTGAATAGCTCCTGATGGGAAAACCATCTGCTGCTCTGAAAGTTGTCTTACAATTCCACTGAAAGGCTTTTTTCTGCTTGAAAACATGGTGTAAGCTTTAACTATTTCAAAACTGCTTTTCAACGGTAAGAATAAGGAAGTCAACAATGAATGATCAACCTGTTGAATGGATTGTGAATTGTGGAAATGTATCTATACATTTAAAACAACAACCACTTCATTTTGGATTTAAACTTGCAGCATCAAGTAAATCTACGATCCCTTTCACAAGAACTTTGTAATATATTATTTTTGATATTCTTGATTAATTTTCATCCTAAAAAAATGTAGTTTTTTTTCATGTCTGTCTTTTCTTATTCTTTCCCGCGAGGGGGGAACAGCATGTTGGCTTGAATGCCACTTGTCAATAAATCCTTCAAACGGGAGCTTGTTGGTGTGCAAACCACATTGGTTTGCTTTTCTTTACCAATGTGTGTTTTTGGATCCAGCACCCACTGAGGGATGTGCGTGTCTTTTGTGGACTTTTCATTAATCCCACAAGGGATTACAGAGACCTGAAATGTAAATCTAAGATGTGTAAACATAATCAGTAGTCAAAATTCAGTATTTGCTCTACGGAGTCTGGATTCATTGTTAGATGTCAAAAGTTCTGTTTCTTACATATTTTAAGGGGAATTGAAGCATTACCACTGTTGAGAATTGAATTCATCATATGAATCATTAGAATTGCGACAAGTGGGGATTGAGTTGTAAAAAAGTTAGAAAACATGAACTTTGAATATTGCTGATAGCATTTCTGACTTAATAGAGCAATTATTGGTGCAAAACTGTTAATGTTAAAAGATCCAGATAAGCATCAACTCCACATGTGGAGGGATCATTTATCACATGTTTACACCCCTATGATGGCATAATGTTATTTACCATCTTCATCGGTAGTAACAGATGAATTGCAGGGGACAGACAGTTTCATCAGAGCCAGTAGGGGAGCGCAGCGCTATGTGTTTATGTGTGCCGTGCTTCTGCAACGCAGAAACGCAATGTGAGTTCACAGACTGGGACAAGAATAGGACGCCGTCGTGGAATCAATATGAATGTACAAAGACGTGATGATAGCTAAGATTAGTTATGGTGAAACGGAGGAAAAAGCAATCTGAAAGGGGTTATTGATAAAACGTTTCACCACTTGAAAACTGATGGGTTTTTTTGTCAGTACAGTTCATTTAAAGACTTCAATATATACAACACACACAGAAGAATGACAGAGATGATAAGATAGCAGAGCCAAGCAGTGACATGTGGCCCGGGTCATGACTCTGATTTGTTATTACAGCGCTCAGATCTGACAATATCTTCCTCGCCAGCTTGATAGTGTACAAAAAACGAAACCATTTTTCTTATCTCCTGTGTAGGTGTGCAAAATGTCCATCGCCCAGGCAGCGGCCAAGGCCATGCTATCTGACTCCCTGCTGCAGGACGGCGCGGTGATAAACCGGATCCAGCACCTGGAGCTGGAGCTTCCCCTGGACAAGGTCATCAAGTTTGTGTCCGTCGGCCTGCCGCTGATGCTCGTGTGCATGGCCTTCGCCCGCGAGATCTCCCTGGGTGAGCAGAAAAAGTCTTCCTCTCCTGGAAAATGTTTGAGGGCATTTTGTTTTATATTCCATTTGGTTCTGCCCTTAATTACACCCTGCATTCACGAGGGCTTATTTTTTATTCCGTGGTTGTGTTTCAGCTTCTATGCAGTGTCCTCTGTAAAGTATGAATGCTCTGTTTGTCCTTGAATTGTTTATTATTTAGCTGCTTAACTGCACTTAGTTGAACTTGCGATAAGGAGGAATATCATACATACTAATACAAAGACACTTATTATTCCTCTGGCCTCCATGTGTTTTTTTTAATCCAGAGGGTCCGCGCGGAAATACACTTTTTTCATGTACTGACGGAAGTGACCCAATTCTGAGCCGCAGTTAAAAGTCCTGAACCGTGACAAGTGAGCGTATCCGAGCTCCTCTCCAGCAGGCTCTTATCTTTGCTCTCAGATGCATCCTTACTTAAGGCAGCTATACATATTAAGAGTGATAACAACCAGAGCTTTTGGGAGGAAAATGAGGGTGCTGTGAGAAATGCAGGAGAGAATACTTAAATATGTAGTCTTAAAAAGGAAGACATAAACAGCTGATTCCATTAAGAAACACTCACATGAATAGATATGAGAAGCAACGATGATGTGACTACACAAAATTACTGAAAATACAACTCCTTTATTCTCCATTTTTAGATGTATTGACTGCTCTTTGGTTTCATTTAAGCTGCTTTCCAATGTAGGAGGTACTCTCAAGGGAGTTGGGTCTTTAGGAGGCACTCAGTCCTTTTGTACTGAAGGGTCTAAATAAAGTCTTAATCAACCCCTTAAAAGGTCGCTGCTACTGTAGGTGGTTCTACTTTCTGAACATTCAGGGATTTTGAAGGTTGGAAATGCAAGCCCAACACACGAGTAGAAGAGGGCTGTTCAACATAGGTCTAGTTCTGCTCAAGGTTTCTGTCTGTTAAAAGGACATTTTTCCCTGTCATTCTATGTTTACATGATGTCAAGAAAAGTCAATTTATTGCGTCAGTTAGACTGAAAATTTACTTTTAGAATGCATGTAAACATGTTAGTCAGACTGAAATTTCTCACAGTCAGACTAACACACAAAGATAATTTGGTTGGGGATCAATTAACTCTTGCATTCACCTCAATCGAACCCAAACTGGCCGAGGCGTTCTGCACCTGCTCCAGAGTCAAACAGCATGAAAGCGTTGAAGAAAGCTGGACGTGCACATCACTGGTCCCAAAAGTAAAGCCCAGTAGTATGTACTAAATGTACAAATGTGTCCATGTTTTCAGAGTTCAACATAAAACCAGTTTAATGCTTGCTTGCAACTTATTTGTGATTTTTTTTTTTTGTCATGTGACATAAGGTCAACTGGAACAATGTCCAATTGCTTGCTGAAAATGGGGCATAACGCTGCCTACTGTAGCGTCTTCAGTCATGTTTTCCATCGATAAATCGATATTCCCTTGTTGCTTGTATATTGAGAAAAGGACAGAAGTCATTTTAAATGTCCTAAGAGAGCTGTAACTGTAGTATGACTAGACTGTGCATGCAGGCAGTCTAAAGTCCTGGAAAGGATCTCCTGGGATAAGAAGTCCTGTATAGTTTTAGAAAAATGTGGGCCTTTTTCTCAGAATGTTTCAGACTACATGGAAAAATACAAACTTTCTGTTTTTTTCATGTGAAACATGGCCACAAGCAGCTGGATGTGGTCATTGAGCACAAAAAAGCACAGCCGATGATCCAAAGAAAAACGTGGCATGTCTGCAGTCTTCAGTGGAGTCCATTACTGAGGAGCGCTGACTCCCTTGACTTTGAACTAAACGTTGTCTCCTCGGGGCCGGTCTGCAATCAGCCTGCTGCTCCTGATGCTAATTGCCACGGGGGGGATGATTGAGAGCAACGTTCACTAACGCCGGCATGCTCTAATTACAAGGCTAAGTTCTTCTGTGGCAGCTCCCCTCGATTTGAGTCAAATGAGAGGATGTGTTGATTAACAGGGGGGGGGGAACAGAACATGATGTGGTGTCGGGGGGAGCACGGCTCAGCTAATGGATCTTGGCTGCCTATCCGCCAGGTTGTTGGTTTTCTGAACGCCTGTGTGATTGCTCCGCTGTCTGCAGTATGGTTTACTTGCACCTGGACTCACAGCCAAGAATTAGACTACAAAACACAAATATGAGGGATGATGTGCCAGAGTTAGCTGGGGAGTGGGAGTAGCAGATATGAGCAGACACAGATTTTAAGCTTCTCTCACTTTGCCAAAATGGCTCACAGGAGATCCGAGCTGACGGGGGAAGAGAGTATGTTACAAGATGTGATGAGAAGTTCTGCGCTGTTGGATTTTATTTAGATTGACTTGTCAACATGTGCACCCACACATGTAGCCAACTGAGGGAAAAATCAGTTCCCACAGGAAGCTGCATGAGAACATACAGTACTGTGTCACAACACTCACCAATCCAGTGCAGCTTTCTTATTTCTGGTGCTCAGCTTGATTTAAGATCAAACATAAAGCCGGTAACATTATATACTCTAAACTCAAATTGAGACTACTGCTGCTATTAAATATTCAGCAGCAGAATGTATGGTTTGCTCCAGCATGCCTTTAAGGGTTGTAAAAGTGATAAATGACTTTAGGCAACCTTTATTATAGTAAAATGAATATTTATCTCATTATATGGTGTCTAGAATTAATATGTTCTGCTCACTTCTTTAACAAAATTTTCTCATCATCAGCCTCATAATGCTGGCCTCGAAGTTTTTATTTGATGCATGTTCATGCAACAGACGAGTTTTGGGCCAGGCGTAGGAAGTGAAGAGTGTTTTTTTCATTTTCACAATAAAATCTGAATAATGAGTATAACTCTACACTGTCCATATATAGGCAATGTTGGAAACCAAAAACTGTTTTAAAAAAAAAGCATATATGATTAAATTTGAAAATGCTGCGGAAATGGAAATGAAAATTCCAATAATAATGAATAAAAATTTAGTTTTACATCACAACCATGACTTCTAGTTATGGCGGCGAGCTAGGTGGGCGTGATAACTCATGCTCTGTTGCTAATGTTGAATTTAAAACTAGTTACACAATCCCGAACAACAACAAAAGTGACAAAACTTAAACAAAGAGTTGAATATGCCGAGAAAAGGAGTCGAAGAGAAACCTAAAACTAAATGTGTAGCAGGTCAAGCAGAAAAAGATAACATGGAAACCCTTTTAATATGGACTTAATAACATGTCAAGCATGTGAGAGGTGAACCAACATATAAAACACATGTTTAGTCAGAGGCTGGTGTTTCAGTATGCAGTCTAAAAATAAAAGCACTAACCTCTTGTTTGTGTATTTACATGGAAGGTCACTTTTAAAATGAATGTAATCCACGGGGACCTCAGCTGCCATAATTATATTCCAGGTGTCACTATCAATATGTAGAAATGTGGCACACACACACACGCACGCACGCACGCACGCACGCACACACACACACACACACACACACACACACACGCATGGTAGCATTATTTGGACCTTGTAATGGTTGCTTTTATAACGACGGGGGCTGGCAGCAGAAATCCCGTCCTGGCAGTAAATTAGAAGCAACATGTAACTACTTACAGAAAGCTGGGCAGATGTGAGCGTGCTTGTTAAAAAATAGACGCTCCGTGTTTCTCTGGGCACACCCTGACTCTGTTCCCTCTAAAGCTCTCTGTTTAAGGGTGGAGCACCCTTGGGAAATGACAGAAGGGTGCAGGGCAGGGATTTAAGTGGTTGGACTTGATGTGGGGTGTATCAAGGTAAGCTAAATATAAGGTGGAGGAGCATAGAAAGGGTTTTTTTTTAATGCCATGTTGCCATTTAGGAACATGTGATTTGCTCAGTAGATTTCTCTTCCACGAAGGGGAGAGAGAACATTTTATCTTGCAGTAGATTGTATATGAATGTGTGTGAGTGTTTGGAAGATATGGAGTGTGAGAGGTAACTTACAGGATGAAAATATGCTGCAGAAAGTAATTTCCCACATTAGCAGATAATGTTACAGATCAACATTTGTTTCTTCTGCAGGGCCTCAGATCAGCTGTTTCCCCCCGAGCAATTTCACCATCAAGCAGGCCAGCTATGTGGACACATACTGCTGGGACTCTCTCATGCATCACGAGTTTGACAGCGACGGGAACTTCGAGGAGCGCTCACTCTGGGTACACAAGGTACGATGAGAAATCCTAATTAAGCTCGCTTGTCTTGTTGTTCCCATCAAGATTGGCTGGCGGTGATAAAGAGACCCTATATGCTCATTTTACAGCTCTTAATGTTCACCCTGGGACTCCACTAGAGCAGCTCTACATAACTTACAGTTGAGAAAAACATTATTAAACTCTTAATGGTCCCTCAGTTTAGCCTCTGTCTGAAATAAGATATTACATCTCAGTTTGCTTTAACGCTCCAGCCCCCAGAAGCACTTACTTCCACATTGCCACCTGTGGTGTAGCCAAGTGCAATATTCATTTATGGATGTCAAACCAACAGACAAGTGCATATGGTTCATATGTTAAATTCTTGGGAAGTATTTGGTTATTCATAAAGATATAATGAGCTGAAAACAAACTGTAATGGTGAATTGACTTGAGCTTTTCTCGTCTTCTGACTACTCAAAGCACTGCACCTAGACATTCACACTCATTCACACACTGATGTCAGAGGTTGCTGTGCAAAGTGTCCATTAGAATAAAGTAATCCTGTTCATACACATTCAAATGCCGCCGACAAAGGAACTTGAGGTTAGGTGTCTTGACAACCTGCTCTACCAATTGAACCACAACCGCCCGTTGAAGATGATTTTCCATTCTTTCTTCCATTTATTTATTAACGTTATGTTCCCATGGTAACATGGAGGTCAGCGGAGTACTTCAAGTTCTGCTTTTAGTTTTGATGGTCTGGTGAATTAAGGCAAATCGAAGGCAAATCGAAGACAAATCAGGTCTACAGTACTAGCTTCAACTCAAGTTTGCCTTAATTGAGTTGAAGCTAGTACTGTAGACCTGATTTGTTTGAATAAAATGTCAGCAAACAAGCTTTCACTTAAGTTTACTCCTAGTTAAATTGTCTCGTCAGTATTAGCTAATGATTTTAAAAACATTAGAAACCTGATTCAGTTGAAAATGTTAGCGTGAACCATTTATAGAAAGCGTTGCAGGTGTTTCGAGCTTTATCAAGAAAGGTTCTTGCATAAGAATTTGAGACCCACACACAGAAAAATATTTCTTAACTTGTAGCTGTGAATTTGTAATACTCCCTTTTGAAGCCATTGTTCATGTAACTCATCTTTCTCTTTCTTCTCTTCCCATTCGCTCTGTCTTTTCTTTTCTGTCTGAATCTTCTTTTTCTGTCTGCGTCTTACCTTCTTCTCTTTCCTTGCCTTCTCTCTTCATTGTCTGTCCAGATGTTCCCGTACTCTCTTATGGCCATGGCCGTGTTGATGTACCTTCCGGCTCTGATCTGGCGCCAGCTCGTAATGCCCACGCTGGGCTCCGACCTGCTATTCATCATTGATGAACTGGACAAGTCGTACAACCGCTCCGTCCGGCTGGCTCAGAGCATTCTGGACATGAGGCAGAACACTCAGAACCCGCTCACATTTCAGGCCGAGCTCCAAAGGTAAGAGACCAGGGCCTGTTGGCTTGGAGGGAGAATATTCATCGCTCCTTATTGTCGTTGTGTTTAGGGCCTGTGTCCATTAACAGGCAACGCCCATGACCTCCATTTCAGAGAGCTTCTCCCTAGCGCTTATTGTTGCTAGGTTATAAAAGTTAACTTTCACTTCCCTTGTGTCTGTTTTGAAAACCGTGTATGCTTAATATTTGCTTTTATTCCAGGAAATATCTCAAAGATATCATGAAAATGTTGTCAGGTAATTGTGTCCTGGCATCAGAAGCAGCATTCCCTGAAAACTGTACCCTTGTAAAAACAAGTCCGATTACTTTATATTCTGCCATTGTTGTTTACAGCTGTTATCAGAAGTCTCGCACCTTCTTGATTCTGATTGGTTGGTCTGGGAGAAGTGACAATGATGAGCATGGAAGTGTTCCAAAAGTTGAACTGTTTCAAACTCAGACTGTTTGAGCCAAGAGACAAAAGACAGCCAACATTGAGAGTGTTTTTTGCACTCAGGTTGCTAATACGCTGAAAACCCTGAGCTACGCTGGTTTTGAATTGTAAATGTGAGGGTGCCACTGCAAAATAATTGCCTTAGTGGACACAGACCCTTAAACATGTACTATTCTATGTTCTGAGTTGATAGATTTACTGAGTGCAAAATTGCTCCAAGAATTTTATTTGACATCTGAACCTTTGAAAGGAACCCCCCACCAGGTTCTGAGTGAGGGTGCATTTTCACCATCCCTCTAAAAGTAAAAAAAAAATGGCACACTAAAGTATGCTGGGAAATATGTTTTAATTTTTTTTTAATTACTTAATATCTATGTGATTTTTTTTTATCTGGAGCCTTTATTCCATATGCGACCAATAGATAAAACAATGTGGTTTGGGAAAGGTTAGACATGGATTTCCTTCCTTCAGCCTCTACCATTAATATACCCTTGCACATGGCTCTTAACATGTGTATTAGAGGGCTGGGTGTATGGTTGGCAGTTCCTTGTAGTCAAAAGTAGAACCTGTGGTTTGGTTGGGAGGCTCCCAGATGTGAATGTTTAGCTGTAGGAACATAAAGAAAAACATGATTCTGACTTTCTTCTTCTTCTTGTCCTTGTGCAGGGCCAAGAGGAAGCGATACTTTGAGTACCCTCTGCTGGAGAGATACATGCATTGCAAGCAGAAGTCCTACTTCCTTGTTAGCATGCTTTTCTTGCGGGGCTTCCTCCTCCTGACCTTCATGACTGCTGCCTGTCTCTACCTGGCCTACTTCCATCTCTCCGCTTTCCTGCAGGATGAGTTCAGCTGCTTCGTCCGCACGGGCATGCTGCGGGATCAGAACTGGGTCCCCGAGCTGGTTCAGTGTAAAATGATTGGCCAGTTGGTGTTCCAGGTAATAAGTGTGGCTAACGGTGCCATCTACGTCCTGTTGGCGCCGATCGTCCTCTTCAGCCTGCTTCGGCTCTTCATCTGGGACACCACATTCATCTCTGTATACGAGGTCCTCCCAGCCCTGGATCTGATTAAACAGGGTAGGCTCGGCTGCCCGCTGAATGACCTCAATGTCCTCCTGCTATTCCTGCGCGCCAATGTGGCCCACCTGAAGTCCTACGGGAACGTGAGGGCGTTTTGCTCGCTGGCGCCTCCACAGGTTGGCAACGCTACTGCAGGGCAAGGCCTGAACGCGATGCTGACCCAAGAACAGCTGGAGGAGCGCGAGGAGGCTGCGAAGGAGCTGTCGGAGGAGGTGGAGGAGGCCAAAGAGGAAGGGAAGATCAGCCTGGTGGACATCATGACCATTCTGGGAGCAGCTCAGGGCAGAGTGGTGAACTGCAGCGAGAAGAGGCCACTCATCGAGGAGAATATGAGCCTGGGTACCGTAACACTTATCTACACACTCAAACGCATTCTGCTGGTGGCCATTTTTGTCTTCATCATTTGGGATGTACAGAAAATTATCAAGTGACCTTCACACTAAAGATACACACTCTGGAAATGAATATCGAGTGCTTTAAGTACAAGACTTCATCTTCTCTCCTCTTCTTAATGAACCGATGCTGAATACAGAGTGAGGTCATATCTGAGTAAGCTGAGGAAAGAATTGAGAGAAAAAAATGCATCAAAGCTGTAAATTTGCGTATCAATGTTGAGTGTTTTTTTTTTCTTGCTTAAGATGAGATTGAATAATATATATTACAGTATACCGCTCACAGGGTGAATATTGACCTTGAACTTGGTGCTCTCTTCATATAATACATAATGAAAAGAGATCCAGAATGTACAATTAGATATGATGGCAAAAAAGTGAAAGGACATGAAAAGAGAAATCACAATTCCTGTGTGATAATAGATATAAATGAAAACACCTCATAATGATAATTACTGCATGAATGCATGGGCAGGGCTGAACAAGTTAACACAACGCCATATACTGTAAAGGCCTTCAAACCCAAGAGGGCACAAGACCGTTCAGTAGACAGTGGTGATTCTAGAGTCTGTTAGGGCCCCAGTTAAGAAATAATTGTGAGCCCTTCAACCTGCATTTATTACCATTATATCTGCCATTGACCCAACGCTTACTTACTTCCTGTTTCTGGTTCCTCTCCAATGGATGGATAATTCCTCTTCCTCTTATCTTTTCTTGGTTGACTTCCATTAAAAAACTTAACTTAATTAAAAAGTTTCATCAGCAATAATGCATGCAACGCTTGGCATGGCAACGTGAGTGAGTGCTGTCAGATGGGGCCCCCTTAGGGAGGTTTCCTACTGTAATTGCAAAATTTGAACATTTTGGACCAATGTTGTGGTTCAAAGTTTGTGAGCCCTCATGGGCCCCCTACTGGTCTGGGGCCCCGAGCAGTTGCCTGTTGAAAATCAGTGCCTCTGTATGTAGAACATTTTATAAAACAGCAGTGGAAAGTTGTTTTCACACAAGCTGAGTTACTTATTCACTGTGATGATGGTTTTTGCATTATACCGATGCAGCATGTAATTGAAGAAAGCGTGTAGGAGAACATTCTGGCCATCATGAGTAAATGAGGGTGATGAGGATAGACGTACATGAGAGTTTCCCCTCAATGTTCTCTCCAGTTTAAATAAAGGTTGACTGATTGAGGAAGCAGCTTCATTACGTGCATGAAGATCACACAGGTCACAGTCAGTCTCACAATGGTTGCACAACAGTAGCATGAAGTAAATGTCATCACCCTTGCCAGATCGCTTGCAGAGAATTTTCCTCAATACTACCCGCTGAGTTCACACACTGGCTCACCTTAACCACATGCGGAAAATTTACAAAGAGAAAAAAGTTCAGCTAAAGTTGGGGTGAAAATATTCAGCTAAAGTTGGGGTAAATGTCGTTCATTCACTCCAGCAGCTCAGCCCAAAACTTTCAGTAATTGTCATTTTTGTGCACAAATGAAAATAGCCTTTGTAAATGCTGTGGGGTAAAAGATGTGTCCTTGCCCACTAATCATATTCTGAAGACTTAAGAAAACACCATTGCCTGCCCAAATTCCCTTTAGAAAACAGAACACAACCTTTTCAAAAAATCTTACGATGAAGAGGCTGTTAAATGTAACTTTCCCCATCTTAAATTGATTGAAGTTGCTTCTTGTAGCTGTATTGATATTTCTTCTTTCTTTGTGAAGCCATACTGAAATGCCTCTCTATCTTAACCTTTTCAAAGTACTGGCTGATGTAGAAGAGATAGATCTGTGGTACTTCAGAGCCCTAACTGCCCTCTCTGTCTCTTCACAGAGCCAAACCACCAGGGGTACCATGAGTTGAAGGAGACCGCACCATTTAGTCATTACTAGGCCTCCTGCGGACTGAATCAATGTGATAACGGTGTGGGGGGTCGTAAAGTAGCTGTAAGAATGCTTTACCTACAAAGACTGGGGACAGGACAAGCATTCAGGGTTTATATTTCCTTTTTTATTTTTTTTTAATGCCGACTGAACACAAAATCACCTCTTTTAGAATAAAATGGAAAAGCGTTTTAACATGAAATGTCAATGCGTTTTGATCGCTCAGTTTTCAGCATTTGTACATCTGCAGCTGCTGCATCTTAGTTTTTTGTCTCTTTGGAAGTGTTATAGTTAGAGGAAAACATGCAGGTGAAAGTGGCTGTTGTATTCAAGGTGTGAGAACACAAAGAAAGAAAATGTATTGATCTGAAAGTATTCAGTAAGTCGTGGAAGTCTACAGTAAACGAAGATGATCAAGAGACAGAAAATCATTCCTTAGAAAAGTCGTTGATTTCTGTACCTGAGTTTCAAAAGGGTTTCATTTTATATGTAATATTGTATTGTTTTTTTCCACTTCCTTTTTTGTATCTTTCTGGTGTTATTGACTTTATCAGCAAACAAAATGTGTTTTTATTAAGTGTCTTGTATTGTTGGTTATTCTAAATAAATGGAATTTGTACAATAACTGCTTTTTCCTTCTTCAATATCTTCAAGAATCACGTCTTTTCATTAGTGAGGCTAGCCCAGGGTTTCTGTTGCAGATGAAATATAGTCAGTCAGTTTTTTTTCTTTTTTTATAAATATACTAAAACCTCATAGACTTTGTTGATAATTAACTCCCCTCCCAATCAGCCCATAGACCATTTATAATGCAGAATAACGAGTTACACATGAATCTACAATAGCTGTTAGCCAGGAGGCTAATTTGCTGCCTTAGTTCCAATTCTTTGCCTTTTGGTTGGGTTTACTGAAAGTTAGTTTAAAGTTCAATTTCCCACATGGCGAGACCTGTCCTTTGGCTTCACTTCAGAACCAAATGGGTGACGTCACTGAGACTACGTTGCTGTTTAATAGAGTCTATGGTTGTAACAAGAAGTCGAACAAAAATGAGCGCTCTCTACTAATTTTTTCCGCTCATTAAACATTTTAACAATGGTTTAATGTTCCAAATCTGTGGTTCAATTCAGTCTGATTTTCCCCAAAAAAATGTTATAGGAGCGCTACCCAGATTCATAAAAGGGTGTAGGTTTGAGGGGCTCTTTGGATAGGGATGGAAGCAGTCATAGAAAAAAAAATGGTCCCATTTAGAGTGATATATATCTTTGAGACTACGTTTATGTTTTATAAAGTCTATGGTTGTAACAAGAAGTAGAACAGAAACCCAAAATCCAAATCACTGGTTCAATTCAGTCTGATGTTCCCCAAAAAATTAGAAACTTAAAAAAAGAGGTGCCCTTTGGAAAGGTATTGAAAAAATTATAGAAAAAAATAAAATAAGAAAGACTCCAAAGCATTCCCTTTTACGAATTTAAATGCTTTTATTTTCATGGCAGGGTCATGAAGACCTTAAGAAAACACACTTCAATGTGTTCTGACATCAAGCCTTCATCAGGATTCAAGACCTGAAGTTCAGTTTGTAAAACAAGATATCCCTCTAAATGTTAACACTAACACTCATAAACACCATGACCCTTTTACTCCCCTCCCGACCCAGCACATAGACCCCTTACAACGCAGAATAAGCAGAGTGATTGTTCACAAAAAGTGAGGGTGTGATAAATGACATAACATCCAAAATAAACAGATAAAGAACAGGAAATAAAAACACAATATAAATCGTAAAGGAGAATGCTTCAAATTATTACCGTAGTCATTCACAAGAAATCCCTCAAGGTTACTTATATCGATGTACTTTTACCATTTTAGAAGTTACATTCTTTCAAAACAAGCTTTCAATTCCGTTCATCACAATGTCAAACCAAACCATCTACTTAAAGACGGCAGAGAGCCACTAGACTTTTTCGAGCTGGTATTTTTGGTTCATGTAATTTCAGAGCTGAAGAGACAAAAACACTCTGCTGTCTCTGCAGAACGGCCAGACGCTTAGTTTGGTAGATACTGACATACAGTAGATACTGTTGCAACTTTATCCCAGAGAAGAGACAAATTAGATCATCATGACATTTAGAGCAAATATAAAAAAAGAGAAACTCTCATACAGCTCTAGTCATGAAATGTAAAGAAAAACTAGTTGAAAACAAAATGACATGAAGCTATTGGTACTTTATCAAAGAGTGTTTTTTCTTAGGTCGTCATGAAATGGACAGTACAGTGAAAAGTGAGTTTCACAGTGATGACATAATCTTTGGTCTTCTTCAGTTCCAATATATCGAGTATACCAGTTTCAATAATGGCAGTATACCAGTTTCAAACTGGGCACAGAAAGAATGCAGGCTCTTTGATAGGTCATACACAACATATTTTTGGCATTCATACACAGTAAGACAATACGTTCCTAATTTCGGCTTGTGATGAATTTGGTCCACCCATTTATTGTCACATTTTGTCATGGCAAGTTCTTTGAACATCCCCACATCCACCTTCTCTCTGTGCCTGTAGAGATGCCCAAACCTGAATATAAATTAAATGTAAAGATGCATGTGAAATCAATTCCTTATCTTCTGTTCATCCAGGGCCGGGTCACAGTGGCATCAGGTTAAGCAAGTAGCCTCAGACCTCCATCTCCCCAGCAATGTTTTCTGATTCCTCCAGGGTGAGTCCAAGGTGTTCTCAGGCTAGAAGGGAAAGGGTAATCACTCCAGGGAACTCTGGGCCTCCCTATGGATGTCTTCTCCCAGCTGGACAAAGACCTCCAGTAGGAAGGCAACCAGGAGGCATCTTGGTCAAGTGCCCGAACCACTTCAGTTAACACCCTTCGATATTAAGGAGCAGCGACTCCACGCCTTCCTCTGGATGTCCAATCTCCACACCACCACTTATATCTGCAATCTCATTCTTTCGGTCACAACTTATTGCTCATGACCATAGGTGAGTGTTGGAAGCTAAGTCAAATGGTAATTCCAAAGCGTTGCCTTCCAGCTCAGCCCCAACACCACGACACTTCTGTGCAGCGTCGGCAATACTGCTGATGCTGCACCAATCTGCTGTCAATCTCACAATCCATTTGAACCCTAATTTGGAAAAATACTTATATTTA